TAGTTAAAAATTAGAAATATATTAATATTAAACTCTACCTTTTGATCTAAAAAATATTAATTGAAAAGAACAGGGTTGCTTATTTTAGAAATTATAATTTCTTTAGGAGAATTTGAAATGTTATTTGTAAATTTAAAGTCGATATTTGTTTTGAGCAATAATAATAAAGTATTTGATCATAAATAGTATGGATACATTAGATCCAAAATTTCCTAATAGATCTCCCACATGTGGATACTCTAAATTGCCATTTCTTGAGTTCCTTTCATTCCAAGATAGATAATTGAATATGCTTCATTCTAATAAAAAAATTAATTAATTATATTCTTTAGAGTTCTTATATCTTTAATTAGAAGATCTTAAAGTTAATTATTTATTAAATTTATTGTACTGATACGTTATTAATAAGTACATATATTGAGATTAACCAAATAAAAATAATAATAGAGCCCAAAGATACGGTTGTTTTAAATGAAGATTTTGTTGATAACAAAATAGTTACTCTATCTATAAAGAGTATTCTAAGAATCCGCGTTATTTTTTCCCATTCAGATGGTCTATTTTTTTTTAATCAAAATTTAATTATAATCAGATTATTTGGTTAGGCAAAGAATTACTCTCTAACTTCTGGGAGTGCATTTATTCGCCAAGTTTTAAATATAATAAATTCGTTCTATACATTCGGTAGTTTAGAAAAAATTATTAATTAATTTCAAAAATTAAGTAACTTTCTATAGACATCTCCGTAAGGCATAGAGGGATGATTTTTATAATTAGGCTCTGGTAATAAATTGTTATTAGTGTAAACTATGAGTGGCAATAAAATATTAATTGCAAGAGAATCAATCTTACTTTCATAATCTTCCAATAGTACAGATTTACTACTTCCTCACTCAAGTCTAACAAAGAATAGTCTGATATGTATGATTAGTGGGATATTTTTGGGCTCATTTCATAAGTTGTCAGAAGCAATGAATTCCAAAATACATACCTTAAACTTACTATAAAGATAGTAATCGCTAGTACTCCTCTCAGGATACTTTTATATTTTGTTTACTAAAGGCCGATATATTATAAAACCGAAGCCTAAGTTTTTGTTTAAAGTATTAGTCAGATGAAATTTTGACTAATTGTTTATAATTCTAATGATTATGCTGTTTGGATATAAAAAATAATATGCTGGGTTGTACTTATTTTAAAAATCATAAATATACAAATGGGACGCCAAAGAAATCTGCTTTTTTTAGACGGTTCATAAATTAATCTCTAAATATCAATAATACTAAGTTTGATAGATGCCTCTCTCTCTCTTCTGTTCAAATAATAACCTTCAAATTTATCCTCATGCAGCCAATGTACTTTTTCTTCACAAGACACTTTTACGATAGTTTCTTCTTGCAAATAATGTGATACTTGATAGTTCATATTTCACATCATAATAGTTGTGTTAACATCTCTATTTATAATGTTACATATTTGTCTTATACATCTCTTTATTAATCATATATATTAGATGTGTAGTTAATTTATTATTTCTAATTATTTGAAAGTATTCACTTCATGAAACTAATTGTTTTATCTAAATTTTATTTCCAAAAAAAGTTAAAATAATAGGTTTGCGAACAAAAGATAATATTATAAAGCTATTGGACTTGTTAGGCTTGTTAAAATTATATTCAATAATAACAATTTATATTTAATTTATACAATTAAATTTTAAATAATATTTTTTAGAGTAGCTGGTAAAAATTAAATTGTTTTTGCTTTTATGTTATATATCAAATTTCTTTCTTAAAATTGCAATTTAAGGTTAAAGTTATTTATTTTTTTACAAGCTGTTTTGTGTAAGGTTAATCACTCCCTAACATTAACTTTATTAAAATCGCCCTAAGACCTTTTGAGAAAAAAGGAGTGACCTCAATTTTTAGATATTGCGTTTAGTCCTTTCTTCCCTCTATAATTAAAAAGATCAAATTCCTATATCTCGATTATGTTAATTTTTCTCTCAAAAACTTAGTGAATTTAAAGCTAGGAAAGCCTTTTAAAATGATGTTAAAACCACGAGCTTGTATTTACTATAATAGACCTTTAGAATTTTGATAATAAAGGGGTAGCTGAAAATAATGCTCAAAATAATAATTAAATTTTGAATGAGTTCTGAAATATTATATTACTCCGATTATTCACATATATATTTGACAACTGCAAAAAATATAGTGATAGAACAATATTGACCGCTTAGAATATCCAATTGATTATACATATTAAGTATAAAGGGTTTATACTTCAAGGCAATCAATTGGTAAAACATTAAGCAAAGCCCTAATAATGTTGCTTTCAAAAATATGTAAGTTTCAAAGTAGATTAAAGTTTTAATAATAATAGTTTTCTTCCACAATTTAATCATTTCCCAAAAATAGTTCTTTTAGGTATACTCATTAAATAAATATCCTATATGTCTTCGAAACTTTATCTTGTTATGATTTTCTCTATTAATGTACAAAAGTAAAAACAACAATAAAGGTATGATCAATCCAATAAATGAAGATCCAGGAATTGCAAATCTTTTTATCCATAAGATGTGACTATCCGATCCATATAGCAAAGATACATCACCTGATATATAATTTAGATTTGAGATCTTTCTCACAGCAATAATAGAAAAAAATCTAGTTTCTTTATCTATCAACCACATAATCAGTCTATTAAGCTTGCTATTTTAAGTTCGACTTTTAATTAATAGAGGAACAATCTCACTTTTGTTTGCTTAAATATTCTAATCAATATTAAATCCTTATAATTTCATTCAAATTGTTTATTAACGTTATATCCATTTCACCTGGTCTAAGTATTTTAAAAATTCTGGGTCTCATTCATTATTAGATTTCTACAATTTTGATCTCTAATCCTTGTTCTATTTGTATTATTGCTCCTTTCTACCTAGCTTTCCATTTATATTCCTAATTTACTTTACTTAAGAATTAACTTATATATGAATATTGAATTTGTCTTGTGTTATTTGTATGTAAATTCTAGCTCAAAATTTTGGTTTATCTATAATTGACCATTCTGATTTTTAAAATCTTCCTCGCCTTTTTTTGATTCTCTTTCTTAATAATAAGTCTTAACACTTTGTCATCCTATGCCCGATTCTCTAGGACCATCAGAATCTTCATATGTTTGCCAACCAGCATTATCATATTTATGTTTGTTTAATAAGGCTTTTCATCCTTATGACATTTAGAATTACAGATATTACACATAGATGTTTAGAAGCATTCTTCAAAATCTTAAGAACTTATGATTATGTTGCACTTTAAGATTTTCCATATTTATCAAATCTTGCTATTTAGATGTAAATTTGATAAACCATTATTTTGATTGAATGACATACAGAATAGAATAACAATATGTGAATTATAAAGTTGAAATAACCCACAAATTAAAAGATTTGAATTCTTATCGATCAATACTAAGCTGTTAACAAAGAATATATTTTGGTTTTAATTAGGAGATGAACTCACTAATTCAGTATTTTAATTTACAAAATTGCTTGATAAAGATTAAAAGTAGCTGATCATGCAGTTGTTTAACAGGCTCTCGGATTGAGAAAATGATCAAATCTATTGAAGGCACAATAAAGCTAGTAAGTTAATGAAATCTATTGGATTTCTGTATCTAAATCTAATGATCATCATACTACTCAGCAATTCATGCTAATCGCGATCAAATTAGTTTAAAAAAAAAATATAAATCATTTAAACGAATAGCAAATCAAGCGAGCAATTTAAACATTCAAGGGCCGATTCAAGTTAAATAAATACACAATAAGATTCGATCTCTATAATATAAAGACGGAAGTAAAAGTAATACTTACAAGAAACTCTTTGAATTAATAAAATTTAAATGTTCTTATTTCTTCATCTGACAGGAAAATGTGTGTTCTTCATCTACAAATTTATAATATTTTTAAGCTCATAAAATAAAATAACCAATATATTCAGCAATTGTATCTAAATAGTTTTGAATTTGTTTTATGATTTCAGAAATTCTAAAATCTAACTTCTGTTAGCTTATTTGGTATAGAATAATATTCATAATTCATATTTAATCCTTATCTATCTAATATTGCTAATCATGTTTCTTCAAATACATAGTTTTCATTTAATATTTTTAATGGCTAAGTTTCTTTAGCAATCTCTTATCTATTTTAACAATTGCTCTACCAATTTCTCTACAAATCAAAAACCTATAACTCTGAGGTGTCTGCAATTTAAAATTTATCAAAAAATAAAGCTAATTAAAAGAAATTCTTTCAAGATTACTTAGTTGAAATCCTTAAATTTCAGTTTATTTTAAACATAGTATTTGATTGAATAAATTTAATAATTACCTGAATTTGTAATATTTTACTTTATTATCTAAAGAGCCATTAGCTTTCAATATCTGATTACAATTATTATTATAAATACTTTAATTACTTTTTATATTGATATTATCCAATAATTATTAATAAAAAATATAGTTATGTTTCTAGGAATACTACTTTTCTTTGTTGTACTAAAAATTTCTTAAGCATTTACCTGCGAGGATAAAATAATGGATAAGAATGATTTTTTTATTTCAAATTACGCAGATGATAGTCTTCTTATAAACACTGATGAAGCAAATTTTTCAAAAATTAACGATATTGGATATGAGATTTTATTATTTGAGTATTCGTATCATTATGAAATAGAAGGAATTTCAATATCTGCTACTTTATTAGAATCCTTTTAAAATAAAGGTGGATTATAAATATGCAATCTCATTATTCAGGAGAATTCATATTATATATAATGTATAATTGGGCTCATCTTTATTTAAGAGGAAATAGATCTTAATTATTCAAATAGGACTGAAATTATTACTTTAGCCCATGAAATATGTAAATCAATCTTTTATGATGAAAAACAAATGTTTACCATATTTTGTTACTCTGAAGAAAACTTTTAATTAATATCTGTTAGTTTAGATAAATAGACTTAATATTATTCGTTGTACAATTATTCTTAAGATTCTGAACTTATGCTTTGCACACCAATATCTATTTAAATTAAGCCTTTTGATTACGTAATAGGTTATCTTAATTGTTCAGATTGGAGAATTTTTTAAGTGTTGAATAATAACATAACTCTTGTTTTAGATGAAATGATATTAAGTAGCTATTAGAAGCATGTTAATCTAAAAAATTTACTGAATTTACAAGTATGCTAGGCGAATGTTGACTAAAAAACATTTGTTTATGCTTTATTCGATACAGGGTACGTTAAGATGGATTCTAATCGTATTTCGGTGTTTCTGTTTCCAACTTAAGAACATCAAATAGCTTAATTGGTATTTGATTATTAATGTAATACTATTATCTTTGTTGGGTAGGAAGAATCACTCACACAATTCTAATATTATTCTTAATACTCCACTTTAACATTTAGTAAATCCATTCCTCTTCCTCGAGCACATCATCATGAATATTTTAAAATATTCTAACATGAAAAAACCTTATAGCTATTCGTAAATTAGAGATTTATATAATATTATGATATTTCAGGTTTACTTTTATTTTATNAAGTTTCTTTAGCAATCTCTTATCTATTTTAACAATTGCTCTACCAATTTCTCTACAAATCAAAAACCTATAACTCTGAGGTGTCTGCAATTTAAAATTTATCAAAAAATAAAGCTAATTAAAAGAAATTCTTTCAAGATTACTTAGTTGAAATCCTTAAATTTCAGTTTATTTTAAACATAGTATTTGATTGAATAAATTTAATAATTACCTGAATTTGTAATATTTTACTTTATTATCTAAAGAGCCATTAGCTTTCAATATCTGATTACAATTATTATTATAAATACTTTAATTACTTTTTATATTGATATTATCCAATAATTATTAATAAAAAATATAGTTATGTTTCTAGGAATACTACTTTTCTTTGTTGTACTAAAAATTTCTTAAGCATTTACCTGCGAGGATAAAATAATGGATAAGAATGATTTTTTTATTTCAAATTACGCAGATGATAGTCTTCTTATAAACACTGATGAAGCAAATTTTTCAAAAATTAACGATATTGGATATGAGATTTTATTATTTGAGTATTCGTATCATTATGAAATAGAAGGAATTTCAATATCTGCTACTTTATTAGAATCCTTTTAAAATAAAGGTGGATTATAAATATGCAATCTCATTATTCAGGAGAATTCATATTATATATAATGTATAATTGGGCTCATCTTTATTTAAGAGGAAATAGATCTTAATTATTCAAATAGGACTGAAATTATTACTTTAGCCCATGAAATATGTAAATCAATCTTTTATGATGAAAAACAAATGTTTACCATATTTTGTTACTCTGAAGAAAACTTTTAATTAATATCTGTTAGTTTAGATAAATAGACTTAATATTATTCGTTGTACAATTATTCTTAAGATTCTGAACTTATGCTTTGCACACCAATATCTATTTAAATTAAGCCTTTTGATTACGTAATAGGTTATCTTAATTGTTCAGATTGGAGAATTTTTTAAGTGTTGAATAATAACATAACTCTTGTTTTAGATGAAATGATATTAAGTAGCTATTAGAAGCATGTTAATCTAAAAAATTTACTGAATTTACAAGTATGCTAGGCGAATGTTGACTAAAAAACATTTGTTTATGCTTTATTCGATACAGGGTACGTTAAGATGGATTCTAATCGTATTTCGGTGTTTCTGTTTCCAACTTAAGAACATCAAATAGCTTAATTGGTATTTGATTATTAATGTAATACTATTATCTTTGTTGGGTAGGAAGAATCACTCACACAATTCTAATATTATTCTTAATACTCCACTTTAACATTTAGTAAATCCATTCCTCTTCCTCGAGCACATCATCATGAATATTTTAAAATATTCTAACATGAAAAAACCTTATAGCTATTCGTAAATTAGAGATTTATATAATATTATGATATTTCAGGTTTACTTTTATTTTACCATAATATGAATATATTTATAAAGTTAATTTGAAATTTTTTGATTGTTGTGAGAATTCAAATATCAAATGCACTAAGATTATAAAATAAGATCCGTAGACTCTATTATAAAAACATGATTTTGGGAATAATGAATATTATCTTATCTTTCATAGTTTAACACCACAAATGTAATTATATATTAATTATTTTGAATTCATGGATGGAATCCCAATATTTTTTGAGGTGCCTCCATAATACAAGCATTTATTAAGTATTAATGAAATGAAAATTAAATTATCATCTATTTGTCCATTACACTTTACATTTAAGGATTTAATTATCCTGCTTTTTGATACTTCTGGAATATTTGTGTTTTAAGATGAGAAAAATATCTACTTCTATAATTGTACTCAATAAAAATTATTTCATCAAGTATAAATGCAAGGCAAATCTGTATTCATTTATAAAAATTATGTTATCATTTTAGACAGAATATTAAATCTAGTAAATATTATCGTTCTCTACCAACTATCTTTAAAATATTATACTATAAAAATTGATTCTGAAATAAGATATGCTGATTTAAGCTTAAATTATATGTTGATAACTTTGAAAGATAAGAGACCCTTAATAATTGAACTTTTCTAAGAAGCTAAAATTATATACAACAATATAAGCAATACTCAAGACGAAATATTGTTTTATCTTCAAGATTTTGATTTATTCCAGATGTATTAAGTGAAGGGATACATTGTCATTCAAAAAAATAACAAAGTTTTAAATATTAAGTTTCTTGACTGGAAAATACTTGGTGTAATTTAAAATTTAATCTTTATTGTATTACATAATATTGATTTATCTCTAAAAATTATCACTGTCAATGAGAATGAAGTAATATTTTTATCAAATTTTGATCTCTTTGATTATTCTATTTATTAACCTCTAACATACTCTTATCTTCACTCTGGTTTGTCGATTGTAGCTGAAAAAGATAATAAATAATATCTTCTAATATATTCAATATAAAGCCTCTATTTAAAACTAAGATTTATTATTCCAATAGGTAAACCAATCTTTTATTTTAGAGATGAACATATTTATTTTTATGATGAGAACAACAACCTAGTATATATGAATGTATTCCATTAAATAATTACTTATTAAATTTAAAATTTTAATAAAATTTTTTAAACTAATATTGTTCATTTAAATCTATTATCCCAATTAGATTTCAAATAATACAATATATTTAATTTAAGTTTGAAAATTGTAATTTAGAATTTTTAGATTATTCCAAAATCCAGTCTATTAATTCAACCGATATCAAACATTTAACACTAAATTTGGCTATTTAATCATTTTTTAGGCCCAATAGATAAAGTTTATTTAAATGAAAATTGCCCAATTACATTAAGTGGGCCATTGCTAATAAGAGATGATATTATTTCATGCGATTAAAGTGTCTCTATATATTGTCTTTAAAAATAGACCCTTAAAAATGATCCGATCAGTATGTTTTCATGCGTATTTCTTAAAATAACTGAGTATGCGAATTCAACCAATAACACAAAATTGATTATTCTCTCCCCTAAATACCTACATTTCTAATTAAGAAAAGGTGATCTAATTTAAGTTTAGAATTTACCAATTGGAAATAGTGAAATAACTGTGTTTACATATGATTTTATCTCGGATGAATTTATAAAGTATAAATCATTTATTTTTCCTTAAATTATGAGGACTTAAATACTAATAATCGGTGATATATTCTTATTTTAAACAAACAATAAATTTGTATTACTATATGTGAATAGAGACTTTATAAAGGAAATATATTAGAATGAATATTATTTTGGTGTGGTCTATATTGAGAATTCTAATGAGGAATATATAATATTAAATTCGAGAAATGAAATAGAAATTACTCATTATAATTTTTCTTAAGGTAACATCATTCAAATACAAACCTACTCCATAGAAAAATATAAGCTATTTTTGTTGTGCATGGGTGGTAATGACTATTCCTTCGAATCAATAATGAATTCAATTATATTTAATCTTTTTGATGCTATAAAAAAGGAATTTGAAATCAGATTAAATGGCCTTTTAAATTATGAAAATTATAAATTTTATTTAACTTTAACTATTAATACATTGAATTCAACTATTAAAGCTGAGATCATAAGAACTTTTAGAAATTAACATTTGATAGAAAAGATAAATTTTATCGATGAAAAATTCGCCATATTCTAAGGTATAAATCTAAATCAAATTTTTATTTATGACTTAAGATAAGAATAAGAATTTTATGATCCAATAACTGAAATGAATTTGCTTCATGATATGACAATATAAAGTTATAATAGTACACATTATATATGCTTTAATTCATCAAGCGATGAAGCATTTTTAATAGAAATTGGATATGAGATTAATTTTATGGAAAAAGATAAACCTTATGATTGTAAGTTAATTGCTGAAAATGGGGTATCAAAGGCTGAAGTTTTAGTAACCATTTAATAAGAAGAAATTAATAACGACATTCACTACAAGAGTATTATAATACTATCAATTATTGTTTGCATAGTCATAGTTTTACTAATTTTTGTATTAAGAAGATAAAAATTAAAGAAGAATAATTTAAAACTATTCTAGCCAATATCCTTAGATTAATCAAAACTATAATGATTTATAATAAAAATTAAATAAATTTAATAGATTACAATCTATTTTTTCATTACTCTATTTTTTCACGATATGCATTAACAAAAAATAGTAAAGTAATTATTTTCTCAATTCTTTTGAAAGACATTTATCACACAATATATCATCCTGTCAATATATTATTTGTACAATAAAATTATAAATAACTGAGGTTCTGTTAAAATTATTTTTCAAAATAAATAGTAAACAAAGAGTCAGTAAGGCAATATCAATTGAAATATTTTTTAACAATTATATTTGGGCTAAGAATTTTAGGATAATGAATTATATTCAGTATTAGGATAATTAAATCTCATATCATTTCGCATATATCTAAAATTAATTGATTTCCTAGATAATCAAGATTGTTATGTTTTTTTAATAATATAACATAATTAAATAAAAATTTTGAAATTAATTTATTAACAGAACAATAAAATATCTATTTAACTATTTAAAAACATTATTTAATTTAATAGACTTTATTAATACTAATTATTAAAATTTCTTATAAATCGATCTTTTTTCATCATCAACTAACTTGATTCCTATATTTAGATTTAGCTGTTCTTGTATATATGATAATGAAAATAAACCAAAATATTTAAACTACTAAAATACTATTCGTAAGCTGCTCACTAGTTTTAACTACATGTATTTACAATGATAATTTCACATTTGATATCAAATTTTATGTGAATAATTGAAAATTTTATTCAATTTGATCATAATTTTATATCTCTAATTCATATCCAATTAATCCTAATTTAACCTAATTAAGATTGTAGAAAATGAAATGAGTATAACCAAAAAAGAATGCTTTTTTTGTAGTATTTTATGAACTTTGAAAATTTCGAATTGTAAAATAATCATAAAATGTTCTATTTTCTTAAAATTAGTAAAATTGAGAGCAAGCATCTTCATTTTATTTTAGCACAAAAAGAGTATCATCTAGATATTAAATGTCAAAATCATGAATTGTCTTGATATTATAGTTGGTTATAAAATTCCTTAATTAGTATTATGATTTTTATTAAATTTAATTCTTTTGGAGATCTAAATTTAACTAAAAAAAAAATTATAAAACAAATTAATTCATTATGAAAAGTTTTATATTAATTAGTTTGCCAAAATATTTACATGAGACTAACTTCATTTTTAATTTAGATATATTAAAATATCCATAAATCATTTCTGCAGACATTTTTTCAGTAATTACTAATGAGTAAATTTAGTATTTTTGATGTAAATTGATCGAGTATATAGTTATTTCTAAATCATTTGAATCCTTCTTATAATTCTATAGAATGAGGTATTAATTATTAGATTCTTCAATGTATTGTATATCTATGGTCATGTCAGGTAACATTTATACATAAAATTGATATCCTCAATAATAATAAAAGCCGTATGCTTGTCACCTTTAAGTTTTATTAAATTACCAACCCTTTTTGTTTCAGAAATATTTATATAAATTAATTTGAAACTATTATTAAAATTTGAGATCATCTGACAATTTTCTTTATGTTTTTATGAACATTCAATTAATTCAATATTTAGAAAATAAACTAATTATGAAACACAAAGAAAATATTCCTATTTTATGCAAGTTATATAAAAATTATTAATCGAAGAACTTCTAAGAACTTCCAAAATGTGATTTTCCTCAACAAACACTCTAAAATAATATGTTTTAAAATGATATTCTCTAATACAGAATGTTGAGGTTTAATCATGACAATTTTAAATAGCTTACTTAATTTGAATAAGTCCCTTCAAAATAATGTTTGAGTTATCTAAAAGTGTCAAATTGCTAATTGGACAATAAAACATCTCAGAAACATTCAATTTTACACTTTTATTGTTTTGGATGTTAATTATAGGTGATTTCATGAGAGAATGTAACTCAAAGCAATCATTTTCGACTTAAATCTTTAATTCAACAGCACCCTCCTCTTTATGGTACATTGAAAAGTTTGATGACAAGATATCTTAATGATTTTTTCTATACTGATATCGACAAGAAATTGTTACAAGAATGCACACCTCCACACCTTGTCGAAAGAAAACAATAAATTTTATCCATCAAAATTAAAAAAGAAATCATCAGTTTGGATAATTTCCTTTAATATAAACATATAATTATCTTATTAAAAAATAGCTAGATGTAGCGAAATATTTAATTCTATTAAAATAGCAAAATTATCTTAGTTTGTTGTGTACATTAAAGGATAATAAAATGAATAGTTTTAAAGAGTATAATTTTAAATTCAATGTAATCCTTAATTATTTAACTTAATATTAAAGATCTAGTTGAATTTTGTATTGCAACCATAATGTAATAGTTAATTATATTTTAAGGTTGAATATAAATAATTATTGATTCTGTAAATTGATAGCATCTTAAATTTTCTTTATTTTAAATCACTTAAGTCTTTGCATATTAAATTAGCTTTGAGTTTCCAATCTCCTAATAAAATAGAATAGGTTCAGGTTAATAAAGGTTTTTTTATAGATATTATCTAAAAATGAAAATGCCTATTAAATAATCTCTTAAAACTTATGTAACCTAGAATCCCATGAGTTTGGCCAAGAATTCATCATTAAAATAAGAGGCAAATTTGAATTGTTAGTGTAAAAAAATATGCTTTAATATATTTGTTAAAAAGCTTGTAATCTCTTCGTTTAATTTGATGTTGAAGTTTTTCAGAGATTTTGAATAAAATTAAGCTACTCTCAAAACATTGGTATTTTTTCTGTTCACAAAATAAAAGGCCATTTTAGATTGAAGTCTAGAACTCCTTAAAGAGAAATTCATAATAAAGTTTGCTATATTACTATATAGTAGAGTAGAATACATAATATTAATCTAAGTTTATTGAAACTTAGATTTTTGTTTATTTACAATCATAGATATAAAAAAAGGATTCAAATTGAAAACATATGTATTAATTTATTATTTCATTTAATTAAAACTTACTTTAATAATAATATTTATAAAGTCTTGTTAAACATCGTGTTGAAAGACTGAATATTTCATGATACTTACATTAAGACTACCTTTACTATTTTATAAATTGTAAGTACTATTTTTAAAGGAATTAGGGTAGTTGAATTTCCATAATATTTATTACTTAATTTAACAAATATTTTGCATAATCATCTCGGTCTAATGCTATATTTAATTTTAAGGGTTATTTTTGTTTAAAATTCTATAACAGTCGATAACAGCATCTCTTCTAAACAAATTGTTTTCCTTGATAATAAATATAAATTTCTATTTAGGTATTATTAAATCACTTAATGGTTATATTTATAAAATTATAACACCTTTTTGACCTGATCATATTAACAGAATACATTATCAGAGTCAAATATATACAATGAACTGTTGCAAATTTGATAAGTTTAATTAATGTTTAAATTTATCAATACATTTTATTCAAACTAGTTTTATAGGAAAATAAGATTTGAATGAGTGTGAATATTATGAAATGGATATTGTTAATTCAGTATAACTTGCGATGTAATTTTAGTTCAAATTAATGAGGAATCGCTTATCATTAATTCATTAATTACCAAAATTATAATTTCACATCTTTCTTACATTATTATTTTTTGAATTCTATTTTTTTGTTTAAAAAGTCATTTATGATTTTTGTGTCTTATTAATTCAAATGCGCACACACATAAAAATATTTTCTATCAAATAGAGAGAAGAACTAATATCATTATGTTCACAATAAGAAACATCATCAACGTGAGAGAGGCTTTACAGCAAAATGTCCTAATGTTTCATTTAAGCATCGAGTCTAGTTTTAGCTCGATTGTTTTTAATGACCATAACGTTACAACTCTAACATTGATAAAACGCAATTATATATTAATTTTAATTCAATTTNAAGCTTGTAATCTCTTCGTTTAATTTGATGTTGAAGTTTTTCAGAGATTTTGAATAAAATTAAGCTACTCTCAAAACATTGGTATTTTTTCTGTTCACAAAATAAAAGGCCATTTTAGATTGAAGTCTAGAACTCCTTAAAGAGAAATTCATAATAAAGTTTGCTATATTACTATATAGTAGAGTAGAATACATAATATTAATCTAAGTTTATTGAAACTTAGATTTTTGTTTATTTACAATCATAGATATAAAAAAAGGATTCAAATTGAAAACATATGTATTAATTTATTATTTCATTTAATTAAAACTTACTTTAATAATAATATTTATAAAGTCTTGTTAAACATCGTGTTGAAAGACTGAATATTTCATGATACTTACATTAAGACTACCTTTACTATTTTATAAATTGTAAGTACTATTTTTAAAGGAATTAGGGTAGTTGAATTTCCATAATATTTATTACTTAATTTAACAAATATTTTGCATAATCATCTCGGTCTAATGCTATATTTAATTTTAAGGGTTATTTTTGTTTAAAATTCTATAACAGTCGATAACAGCATCTCTTCTAAACAAATTGTTTTCCTTGATAATAAATATAAATTTCTATTTAGGTATTATTAAATCACTTAATGGTTATATTTATAAAATTATAACACCTTTTTGACCTGATCATATTAACAGAATACATTATCAGAGTCAAATATATACAATGAACTGTTGCAAATTTGATAAGTTTAATTAATGTTTAAATTTATCAATACATTTTATTCAAACTAGTTTTATAGGAAAATAAGATTTGAATGAGTGTGAATATTATGAAATGGATATTGTTAATTCAGTATAACTTGCGATGTAATTTTAGTTCAAATTAATGAGGAATCGCTTATCATTAATTCATTAATTACCAAAATTATAATTTCACATCTTTCTTACATTATTATTTTTTGAATTCTATTTTTTTGTTTAAAAAGTCATTTATGATTTTTGTGTCTTATTAATTCAAATGCGCACACACATAAAAATATTTTCTATCAAATAGAGAGAAGAACTAATATCATTATGTTCACAATAAGAAACATCATCAACGTGAGAGAGGCTTTACAGCAAAATGTCCTAATGTTTCATTTAAGCATCGAGTCTAGTTTTAGCTCGATTGTTTTTAATGACCATAACGTTACAACTCTAACATTGATAAAACGCAATTATATATTAATTTTAATTCAATTTTATCTATTTTTTTTTGCATTAATCCTATATTTGATCTAATACATTATGTTCAAAACTTAAAGTCACGTTGCTTTCGAAATGCAATGAATATTATTTAAGTGCAATATAACTGAGACAGAATAAACTCAAACTTCCATCTTCATTTGTAAACAGTTCGTCACATAGTTCATTAGCTAATATTTTCGTTTCGATTCTAACTAATTCATTATAATTAGTTTATTCCTTATACAAAATTAAGTCAAATGCCAAATAGTTTAATTATAATTAGATCTTTCACACAAGTGATATAATATTAAAGATTAACAAATAAGGAGCACACATCAACTTTTCTTGTATTTATTTTGATTCAAGGAATTTGATGACTCTTATTAAAATAGGTTCCTTTTAATATGGATTTTAAAATGATTCTTCTACAACTTGAGCATTGATGTGTTGAAGTTTCTAATAATCTTCTTCATCTCCTTCTAATATATAACAGTCCTAAAAGAATGATTAACAAACAAAATATGGTCGTATTTAAAATTCAGCGCACTTTGAATTTAAATAGTTAATAAGACACCCTAATAACATATATTCAACTTTCATATTATTAATAAATTAAAATATTTCAGAATGGGAATGATTAAAGAATATATTCAAAAATAATTATCTTTTATATTAAAACTACTTGAAATTTTTATAAGTGTTCTAAAAATACTATTAGGGTTCAAGTTTGATTTGTAAATACACTTTTTATTAGATACTACGTCTAAAGAATTTAAGGAAGTTTAGATACATGGTCATTCTTAAATTTATTGATACTAATAAGATTTGCTTTTTGTGCATAAGAAAATTTGAGGAGTGCTTTTGATGATAGCACTAAAAATTGAAAAATGATAATAAAAATCAATATTAAATTAGAATTAGCAAAGATTAAATAAATGGTTTATAATGGATTAAATTTTGCCATTTAAATGTCTATGATACTTAAATCAGACCAAGATTTTTGTTATATTGATTACTCTAGGTTGGTGTTAACAGTGATATTGGATATATTGAAAACACGACACCACAGTAATCAAAAAAGTTTGTGATACAATAAATTAAATAATATGAACCTTAACGAGAGGAATGATCAATAATCAGAGAGTGATTATATTTTTTAAGACAAATGAATATATATAATTATTATTCTTATTATTAATTCCTGTTAAGGAACAACTCACATCACAAATCTTTCTCTTCACTATGTATTTGAAGCATATTCTCATTCTCAATTTTTCCTTGTGAATTTTTACTGCTATTCCAGCTAGCAAATTGTTATATTATTCCATCCTAATCCCTACATGATATTCTATGTCGTGTTATCTTTAAATGCACTTAATGATAGTTACAAATTTTATACTAGATGCTATATGGTAACCTCAAATTTCCAAGAATGATATTAAAATTCTTCACCATAATTTGGTAGCCCTAACAATTTCTTATTACTTTTCCTCTCAATAAGTTCCAATTAAATTATGTTTGACTTAACGCCAGTCGATATAAAAGCATTTTACAATAGTTTTTATGAGGTTTCGCAATACTTTCCAGTATTATAAGTATTGGAACAATGAATAAAATTGTTATTATTGATGTGAATTACTAATTACTTTGGATTTCCGAGAAATATTCATTAGGACTAATCTTAGCCTTACCCAACATTGGATGATTGGTAAAGGTTTTAATTCCATATATCCTATTCGAGGATGTGATTCTTGTTTATCTTATAAACTCATCTCTAATATCGTCAGATAACTATTACTCTTCTACTATTCACCTTGTGTTTTATCTCACCTTTCGTGTTATCATCTAATGAAATAACATGCATTCACTCTCAGTTTACATATCTTTAACGTAGTTATGCCCTTTCTTAAATCATATCATAACTCTTTAAAATTTAAATATTTCAAATTCTGCTTATTTTTTTATACTTTGAAACAAATAGAGTAAGTACAGAAAATTTGGATGGATGATAAATGGAGTAAATTCAAGATATTAGAGGAAATGTTGACAATTAGCCCCTAAATAAGAAATTGTCAAAGAGCCGATGAAATACTCTCCTTGTACTGTCTACATCCTTGAATCATATGTTAAGATAAAAATTGCTATCGGCTGAATTTCATAATAGTGTTGCTAATTATTCCTAATCTGGCTTTTTTCAAAGCCTAGTCAAATCATAATTTATATACATAACCACTTTATGAGAATAGTTATGCTTGCTAAAATTATGAAGCAATATCTTTTGCGAAACCAATTTTATTTTCTATATGTCGAGTTAACACCATCACAATTAATAAGCATAATTCCAAATGCTGATTTATTTTGAATCAGCAGGTGAGTTGATTATTGTGAAAGCGTTTTCAACTTCTTGTTGTATCAGCTGCCTTTGAAAGACTTGTATTACTTGTTGAAATACTGGTCTTACTACTCATAACTTGTATTTTAATTGGCATAAACAAAACATTTTGTTTCTCACCCCACAGTCATGATCAAATCAAAAAGTAGCTAAACCATGTGTATATGGATATACGGGGAATATAATTTTTTATTTCATAATAGCTGAACTTTTAATGTTACTTGCACTGCTACATTAAGAAATGGAATTCTTGTGGAACCAACAAGAAATGCGCAAACCTGGAAAATATTTGGATCATGAGCTTGTGATCCATTCAATAGTGAAGATTGCTTAATATGCCGTGCATTTGATATAATGAGCAAGCATAATTAAGAGTTATGTTGTTGTTAAGTGGTGAAGATGCGGACTACTCAATAGGTTCCCAATTTTGCATTTTGATAAGAATCGCACCCTTCTTCCTTTACATATTAATCCTCCATCTGACAATGAGTGCTAGCTCAGATAATTAGTTCCCATACTCGTATTCTAATACTAAAAGATTTAATTGCTTAATTGTTGTGATTAATATTAGCCTAGTCCAATTGAATTATGCTATGTCTTTTGAACTATTTTGCACATGTCCTCAAACCTAGCTCTGGTTCTATAAAATGGCAACCATATCCTACACTTCTATTAATGATGTCATTTTAGATTGTTAAAATTTAAAAAACATAATAATGACTAATGTATATGGATATAAAATGAATCTCAGCAATCCAAATAAATGGCTTTTTGTTCTCTTTGAGTTTATGCTATATTGACTTACATATTTGACTTGTGCTTTATAAATATATTTCTTATATGAAAGTCTTTGGCAGCTTTTAAGTTAATTTAATAAAAACTTCATTATATATATAATTCTTGTCAGTATCAGTATTAGCTACCAAGTCTAGTGATTGTGCATATTTCCAAGATGCTTCCAATGCTGTTGTTTCTGTTTCCAATTATATGTATCCTAAGACAACTTTGTTACCGAGTAGATCATGCAATCATTAAGGGTACCATTTTACAGCCAGTCTTCTCACACTTTTTAATATAATTATTCTTGAAAATCTTGTAACTCCGATACTGATTGATGTATGCTTGAATAATATTCTCCTAATTACTGCTAATTATGACGCCATCTGGATTTTTAGTTTACTTGTCATTATCATATAATGTTTAAAGCTTCCTTGATAGTCCAAAAATGTTCTAAATTTTCCCTCGATTGATGTTAAATCTACGTTTTATTGGTTATCTTTATTTGCTAAGTACTTTGTCTATTCAAAATTAAGTTTTATTCCTAATTTCTTTGCAGTATGAATATGTCTGTGGATAATGAAATTACTTCCTGTTTTGTAATCATCACTACATGCGCCTTTATTTAAAACTGCATCCAGCAGTTTCTTTCTCCTTTTAGCTTCGGTGAACATATTTTAGTTTCATTATTATTCCATCTCTAATCTATCAGATTATTAAAGAATATATTAAATAGACCTAACGAAGATCCTTATTGTACTCCATTTTAGAAACTTACCTTCTCTTTAGAAATTGGATTTGTAGAGATTATCATAGACATTGATAAAAAATCAATACTATTCAGATATGCACCTTATCAATCGCTAAGTCTTCAATACATGTATAAAAGATTTTCTTATGACAGCAAATAAATCTTCTCTTCTTCTTGTATTCATTATAGAACTTCAATTCTATATGGTTTTAAGTTTCTGGAATTAGTGTATAAATTTTATGTGTTGAGACAAACTTGTTTAGGGCTTTCACCCCAGCCAATAAGTCGATAACACATCTTCCTTAGATTAAACACCAATCCCACCTAGAGCTTGTAGATGAGTGAAATAGGGGTAGTATAATGGCTTCTACTGATGACTCTGGTTGAGGAAGACCTCTTTATAGTTGTATCTTTATTGATAACAATTCTCATAAATAATTATGAGGTAATTTGCTAGAGATGAAATATTAAAATATGATTTAGAATTTAATTTAATGTTAAAGTTAGGTATCCATCATGCTCATTTGGAAAATGTTGAAAAAATCAAAAATCTTGAAGAATTTATTGAAAATAATAATAAAGAATGTGATGATTTGATTGATGAACTTAATTAACTTGTCGAAAGTGTGAATCAATCATTTTCTTAATTGAAAATTGGAATAAGAGATAAATATTCTGTTTAAAAGGAAAGATTACTACATCTAATTAGTAATAAATAAATGAGTCCTTGAATTCAATCATCAATTTAACTAAATAAAAATAATTAATTGCAACCATCATTTAGAATAGACAAAGAAATAAACTAATACATTTAATAATTTATATGAATAATTATTATTGTACATTATTTCATATTATTATTATGTAAAATATGTAAATAACCATATCATCATTTAATTATAAAATTTAAGATAGAACTTTAAAAAGAGTTTGATAAAGGAGGTAATTATATCATAATGATATCATAGGTTATCAATTATATATGGATGATAAGTATAAATAAGCCATAGAGTTAGTTGATAAATTAATATAATCTGACCCTCATAATCATTTCTCTATATAGTTTAAAGGTAAAATTAATAGATTATTAATATGCGAATTATTTATCTATAAGATAATTAATCAATTTGAGAAATGCAATCATTTGATTGGATAAAGCTTTAGCTATAAATCCTAACCTTGTTTGTTCCTTAAGCATTAAAGTTAGTCTGATTCATAATTAAATTAATAGTGGAATTTTTATGAATTTACAAAAGATTATTGTTATAGATAAGATTATTAAAACGAATGAGAATGCTTATTTAATTAAATGTATACTGGTAAAAGACGAATACAAAATAATGAAGCACTAATTGATTTTGAAAATCTTTGAATGCAGCACTCAAAAATTAATTAACAAATTCCTTCATAAGTATTCTTAACTTTTAAAATTAGATTTTTGCAAAAGTAAACTGAAGAAATGATTATTCATTTTTATATAAATTACATTTTGTTTTCTTTTTATTATAAGGCCTTATTTTCCTTATATATCAAATACTTGATTTTCTTTCTGAATTTATTTTGGTAAAATAATTTCATTTGATTTACAATCCATAAATAGCATTATATCTTTTTTATATAACTACTTTTAGAATTTGTTAAGACTTGCTTTCCAGAAAAAAATTTGAAAGTTTAATTTTAAAAAATGAATAAACCTAATTCAAAGCATTGATGTTATTTATAACATTAATATTATTTTTATTAATAGAATATTTTTATAATAGAATAAATTTGTTATTTGAAGACCACTCATTCAAGAGCAATCAATGCCTCCTATTAAATTTAATATTATCTTATTGCTATGTAATAATCAGTGAAACTTATTTGCTATTGCCCTAGTGAATGTGTATGCAAGTTAAATCAACCAAGGCAATGGTATCATTCCTAATGCTCAGGACCTTTATATATTACATCAGAAGGAGATGTTTTTTGCAATTCAAAAGGTTGCTAAACTTCCTTTATTAAGGATCACATTTTCTAATGTGAAAAGGCAAAAGCAGCCTCAAAAAGTTGCAAATTTAAATCGGTATCAGAATGTATGATGACTTTTGCGGCTTCGTTCTAATAAACTGAGCTTGTAGAACAAAATTTGATGTAATTTACGGAAAATTTTGTAATACAAATTCGTAAGAGATGGTATTAATGAGTCAATTTTGAATTATCATATCAAATATATCATTAAATATAAAATCACTTTATTTCTGGTTATAATCATTATAACCTACCTATAGCAATTAAATCATTAATTTTAATTTATGAGAAAAGAGTTTAGGATTATAAACTATATAATAGCTTGAACATTTGAGAATTGATAATAGATTTAAAGATATCAAAAATAAAAGGAATTATTTTTTAATCGACTTTAATTAATTTAAACTAACATTTAACAAAATAAAATAATTATTAACAAATAAAACCCTTCTAATATGTAAATTGAATAGAATTAATATGAATCCTTTTTCTTCGCTTAGAATTTTAAAACTATTGGGCACTTATCCTGCTGATTGTATTTAAAATTGAATTAGATAGAAAGTTATATTGATTATAAATTAAATTATGGGTTTTTGTTTTAAATGCTAGACAAAAATATTCTGGATTTTAAGTTGTTGCTTTTTATTAGAATATAAATTTTAATAATAAAGCTTATAACTCCTAAGATAAGGCAAAAATATTCTAATCTTAAAAAAATTATGACTGTATACTCCTATATCTAGTTGAAATTAGTCAAAACTTTGGACCATTTGCATATCTTTGTTGGGAATTAAGATCAGACCCGTTGATAGAAATGGATTGAAAATCCTTCTATTTCCTTGTCGAGCTGTATTTCTTTTTTTCATTTTTAAAAGTTGTCTTTGTTAATAATAATTCTATATAATAATTTATTAATTTTAATTTAATGAATCGCAATAGAAAATGTAGTATTGAGGGATTTTGATTTGGGAATGAAGAATGGATGGAATTCGCTCTCTGTATCTACTCTTTCTCATTTAAACTACAGGTCCTAAAATGAAATTAGAACCATTAAAAAAACATATGGAATTTGGTTTATTGCCATTTAAACTTAATTAAACATTTCATCATAGATATTAGCAATATATCTGAAATAATCGTAAAGTAAAATAAAATTTTAGAATTTTCAAACATTTACTAAAATAGAATAGACTAAGACTAAGTGATGTGTCTACCACAAAAGAATGTTCAAACAAATAGAAGGATATTTGAGCAACAAATGAAAGCTTGTGTTAGTGCCAAATTCATTTTTGAATTCGTCGTAAATTATTTGTTCTCTTATAATATCGATAATACATTTGCTATTAGAATCATGATTAATTTCGCCTTATTTGTTGAAAAAGATTACTCTCTCCAAAATAATTCAATCAAGATACTTTATTAGTTTGAAATAATTATTACTTTAAATTTTAAATTATAAATATTTGATATCTTCAAAGGTAATATTTAAATTTGATGATAATTCCTTTAAGGTTAATTTTTTAGTGTCATTAATTTTTAGGTAACCCATCTTATTCAATTTAGATGTATCCTTGATCTTATTTATATTAAAGGACATTATTTTTCGAGAGCAAACATGGAATTAAAAAAATTATAATTAAATATGCATCAGCTTAATGTGCAGTCTGGATTGTATCACCATTTACATTTAATGCACTCACAATTTTTAACTTTGAATTTTTATAGCTCTCCATCAAATCGTTCAACAGATTAATCTGGAAATAGTATCTTGACTATTGAAGTTGCTAAATTACTATCATAAATATTTTTTTGTCCTCCATTCAAAACAGCATAAATTATTATTGTATAATATCTTATGCCTTCTATGATTCCTCTTCAATATTGATTCTAGTTCCTTAATTTTACCTAAGGCATTCCTATTTGGTAATCTATACTAAATGATTTAAATAATAAGTATTAGCTCACCCTTCATTTTAAATATAATAAGAAATCAAATAATAATAAAATTCTATAAAAGCATATTTAAAAAACAATTTTTTTAACTCCATTTTCAATATTCAACTTCAGCTTTTCTGTTATTCCTTTAATCTCTTTTCTTAATGCATCTTCTGTTCTAAAAATCCAACAAATATTCTAAAATAATCCTGAAGAACTACTTATTTTTAACTATAAGCTCGTCAACTCTTTTTACTTATTGATCTATTTTCTTTATTTCACATTAGGCTATTGATATTTCTCAAGAAAATTGCTGCCATTTGAACATCTATTTCTAATTGTTATGGATTTAAAAAATACAGTATTAGAATTTAAGTTTGAATTATTTACTCTATTATTCACATTCTTGTCATTTTAAATTGTAGAATAAAGAGCATCATTTATCATTTAAAAATCTCTAATGATTGGTATTGGAGTAAGAGCAACTTTCAATGTTCGAAATGTTTCAATTAATTTTACACTGCTTCTGCATTAGTTACAATAACTGCATCTGGGTTTTTAAAATAAACCTGTTAAGATTTAGATATTGCATCAATGATTGTGGAGCCTCAAATAAAGATCAGTTTGAGGCTTTTAATGCTTATTTTATGAGATATTAAGTTTGATTAATAAGAACATAAAAATTATCTAAGCTATTTATAATAAATAAAATAAAATTACATAATGAATTTATAATTTTCTAAATTTTTAATTGAAATAGTATAAAAATAAACATTAGTATTGTTTTGTTAAAAAAGATGGTGAGTTGAAATGGGATTCACAAATCATATTGATAAGTTTATTACTTTTACAAGATTGCCTGTTGAAAGCAAAGTTCAAAAAAACAAAATAGATTTGTAATTTTAGGATGAAATTATAAATAGTGAATTAGTTATGAATACTAAAGAATACAGTAATTTATTCAAAGAACAAACCAAATAATTTTCTGCTTTTAGGGAGATATTGATCCTATAATGGTTGAAATTGCTGATACATAATAAATCAATAATTTATAGTAATTGAAGGCAGATTTTAAAAGTAATATTCAATGAATAATTTTTAAATTTATTTATCAGTGTTTTTTGGAATAAATTAATTTTTCCTTATTTATGGAATGATTAACGTTCAAACTATTTGAAATGGCATAGACTAAGCATAGTAAATAATAGATTCATCTGAGCTACCCTCTGTCAAAAACTTAAAAACTTTAGGTATGAATTAATCTAACTAAACTTACTAGTGCAAAAAAGCAAAGTATGCAAGTTATAGTTTGGCAAGGAACATTCAACTCTGCCTATTAATTAAGAATCATTTGAATAATTGCTCTATGCTAAAATATAATTTACAAATGGTGATTACTTTGAGACAGAATTAATTATTGATATGCTGCAAAACCTCCTCCATTTCACAACCTCAGCAATTCCTTGCAGCCATCAAACAATTGATGAAATCAAAAACACATTAACTAATATATGAAGAATTTAAATTAGGCTGTTATTATATAATGATGAGATTATTAACAACATCACCTAATAACAATATTATATGCATCAACCAAAGCAGTTATACATAGAATTTTTCTCCAAAAGCACTAGTCTTAAATGTCAGGTATTAGATTTATTAAGCAATATTCCTCATGTATTGATTTATGTCAGCTTTTTATAATGTCCTAATACAAATTAAAAAGTCCTAGCAACAAGCGTAGTGCTAACCATTATTCTGTTTATATTCAGCAACTAAGTAATTTTTTTTGCTAGTGCTCTCAAACAATTTAAAGCTTTATAAATTTATGATTGTATAAGGCATCTTTAATACTGATATATTTGGATTATTTATTAATTCAATGCTCTCTTGTTTGTCCTAATTTTGGAGACTGTCTATTTGCCCTATCGATTTCAAATTTTTTAAAGTTCTAAAAGCATTTTGCATTTGGCCTTAATCTTTTAATCATCTATCTATAGGAGTTCTTATTTCAATTAATTTAAACAAGTAATCTCATTTAAGAGACAGTATGCTCAATTTATTAGTAAGTGATGCCAAGCATTATAGAGCAAATCAAACACTTAGTATGATAAGAGATCTTTGTATAATACTACACTATTTTGATACATCAGCTTTTCATCAGGCATTATGGTTCTCAATATTGAAGGATTAGAAATAAGATGCCATCTTGCAAAATTATTTTCAACTTCAACCTTTCATTATGATGCTATTAAAATCAAATAAGTTAGTCCAGATGCGTTAATCAAAAATCCTAAATTTGCTTACACTTACTATTGCCCTTGCTCTATGCCAATCATCTTTTAATATACATCTTGGTTTGTATTTCAATTTTCTTTTAGACATAACTTGAGTAGACTTTTTTAGCACCTTATGAATGCGACGAAGAATACATGCTAATTTTGGATGCAACATTCCATTCCAGACGACTCTCTTATTAGTACAGGATGAATCAATCAGGTAAGAAATATTTCTACTTAAGCATGTATTTATTTTAGTCTTGTAAATAAGACAAAATACAAGGCATTTATAAAATGCAAATGAGCTGTTTAGCTTTAAATGCAACGAAGAAAATTTTGGAAATATATAATTAGCTGCAAAAGATTTACAAATTAAATTGATTGCCGTTTTTACTTAAACACATATAGAAGGTACTTTAGTAGTAACAAATAAATATATATAATTCTTGAGCTGCATTTCTCTGCATATGTTTTGTATTAACTAAGGAAAGAAAGCAAATAATAAATTCAGGATTTCAGGGATTATTGTAAAATTTTTCTAGGCAATATGATATTTTTCAAATTTTTTCTCAATTAATTACAAAATCATTGTCAATAAAGATTGTCAATCCACTAATACCAAGTAATATTCTGTTAATAGAAGGAGCACCTATTTCAGAATTGCAAATGACCTGGCTGGATAGCATTACAATTATATGATTTTAATACTAGCATTTATGTTAAACTATTTGAGAGAAAGTTGCAAAATTAATAAAAGGAAGTTGCAACTGGCAAATTGTTGAATAAAATACTTCACAGGTGGATAAGGAGTTCATGGGAGAATTTTCTTTTACTAGAAAGAATGCTTTTTTTTGTAATGGGATACTAGACTAAAAATATAATCATGATGGATTTGGATAACTAATGATAATTAAGATAAATAAAATATGAGGAATTGATGTTAATCCCAATTATCTAGTTC